CTTCGTGGGAATCTGGCGATTTCTCCTCGCCAAAGAAATCGCCACCTTCCCACGAACCCGACCCTTGGTGGTTTAGGGTTTAGGGTTTAGGGTTTAGGGTTTTTTTTTTAAGCGCCCCGTTTCTCTCCGCACAATCCGTGGTCAAGAAAGCCCATTGGGCAGGCGAAACGGTCCCACACTCACAGGGTTTAGGGTTTAGGGTTTAGGGTTGTGGGAATATGGCGATTTGCGACGGCTAGGGTTTGGGGCTTGGGGTTCAGGGCATGGGGTTTGGGGCTTAGGGCTTTAGGGTTTAAGGCTTAGGCTTAGGGCTTAGTCTAGGGCCTAGGCTTTGGGGATTAGGATTTAAAGTCCAAAGCTTGGGGGCTTAGGGTCTAGGGCCTAGGTTTTTGGGGCTTCGGGTTTAGGACCAGGGTTTTGGGGTTCAGGGTTTGGGATTTCAGCCTTCAAGCTTGATCAAGAAGCATAATGGCTTCCTAATGATGTGAGAATCTTGGGTAGGTGGGATGATTTCCCGAGTTGAGCTCGACTAGAAACTGCTCCATCCGGAGCTGCTGAACCCTAAACCCTAAACCCTAAACCCCAAACCCTAATCCTTAAACCGTAAACCCTAAACCTTAAACCCTAAACCTTAAACCCTAAACCTTAAACCCTAAACCTTAAACCCTAAACCCTAAACCCTAAACCCTAAACCCTAAACCCCCGTCGCTGCCTCGAGGAACTGTGCTGAGGCCTTCAGGATGGTCTTCTTCTCGGCCTTGCGGTTCTCGAGGCTCCAGGCCTGACGACAAGAAACATTGTAGGGCTTTTAAGGTTTAGGGTTTAAGCTTTAGGGTTTAGGGTTTAGGGTTTAGGGTTTAGGGTTAAAGGTTTTGGGTTTAGGGTTTAGGGTGCTTCTTTTTAAAGGTAGGGCTTTGAAGGTTTAGGGCTTTTTTGAAACAGCTAGGGCGTTTAAGGTTTGGGGTCTGTGGTTTTGAGGCTTTTTGGGTTCCAGAAGGGCCTACGGGCTTAGGGCCTTGCAATGAGGCCTGCTCTTTTCAGGGTGTACGGTTCGAGGTTTGGGGTGTTCGAGAGTTCATTACATGAGTTCAAGGGTTAGTTGCAGACACTTTGCGTTTGCTGTCTGATGGCACAATCACTGTCGCTGAGCGCTGTTTCATTTTATATATATATATATATATATATACCACAGGACATCAGTATATAACTTCGGCATGTCCTTAGCAGATTCCGTTGAGTCAGAAGTCTTTCTAACTGCAGAACTTAGGGCCACGAACCCCGGAGTCTTCTACACAGTTCAGCCCCAAACCCGAAACTCCTAGAGCCTAAACGTTTAATTGGGTTTGGGGATTCTGCACCCTTTAAGGGTTTAGGGTTTAGGGTTTAGGGTTTAGGGTTTAGGGTTTAGGGTTTAGGGTTTAGGGCTCTGTTGATAACACCAACGCAGGCAGCCCCCACCTGTCGGGGTGGACTGGCTTCCTCCGCCGGCATGCCCGGCAATATGGTGCCCATGACGTCCTGCTTCGGCAGAGGCTTGGGGTTCGAAGGCTTCAAGGAAAAACTGCGAATTGGTACCGCAGCCGCCGCAGCAATCAGTAAGTAATCATAACACCTTCCGCAGCAGCATATCCATCACGAGACTGCTTGTTATTGGTAGTGTTGTCGATGCTTGCCTCTTCCTACTCCTAGTCGTAGTCCTAGGCGTACTCCTACTCCTACTCTCCTCTTTCTTCTCCTTCTCCTCAAGACCCGAGTGACTCAAAGACGTCGGGTTGCTGGGGTGATGGGTCGAACAAGGACCGTAGGACAAAGCTTAGGGGTTAGTTTAGGGCTTAGGAAAAGTCAAGCAACCCCCTACAAATACCTGCAAAGGCATCCAAGGAATGGGGATCTGAAAGAGCATCGAACTGGTCGACCCTGCATGACTTCGACGTCCGCAACCGCCATACCAGTCTTATAGGCTAAAGGTTTAGGAAATCCAAGGCTCAGGGTGTAGGGTTAAGGGTGGAACTCTGAACACTCCTCCATGGGCTCCATGACGTGGTCCGCCATTATGCTCAGCGCCACGTGCTCGGCCATTTTGGAGACTCCGCGCCACTTTGGGCAACTAGCGTAGGGTCTGTGGCAGGTGCATATGTTTGTTTTCCGCCTGTGGTATTTGACACGTTCTAGGGAATTAGGTTTGGAGCTTGGGGATTGCCGTTTGGAACCATATCTCAGGCTTTTCGTACCTCAGGTACACCCTGTATTTATCCGATGTAGTCGAGCTAGCATATGCCATGCTGACCTGAATGCCCGAAGTTGACTCCTAAGCCGTGATGCTCCCCGCAGCAGGTGTTGCTTTCACGACTGTGTCGCACACCACTTGGGAGTGTCAGAGACAAGAATAAGAGACTAGTCCAAACAACAAACCTAATGTAGTGGCCTTAATAATTAGGATAAGCATTATACCACAAGTATAATAAGGAACCCCCAAAATAGTATTGGTAATTATTTAAGCCCCTATATTAGAGGAAGCTGCTCATGAAAGGCTTAACTTGAGGGACCCGAACCCTAACAGGAAGGGTTCCCGTGGGGCCTACATCTCGCAAACGCTAACCCTATAGGGTTTAGGGTTCCGGGTATAATGAACCCTAAACCCTAAACCCTAAACCCTAAACCCTAAACCCTAAACCCTAAACCCCAAAATCCTGAAACCTGGTTAATGGTGACCTTCTACTCGGGGTCTAGAGCTGAAAATTGAAAGGCCCAACCGAACAGCTTCAGGGCGCTCCATGAGGGATAAAAGGCTCAGACCTTTCGGGTTTGGGGCTTAAGGTTCAGAGTGTGGGGTTTGGGTTTGGGGTTCAGGGTTTACGGCTCGGGAATTGCGGTTGAGGGTCTGGGGTTTTAAGCTCCTTTTTCCTCTGTCTGCGCTTGGCTTTTCAGCGTCCTTGCAATCGCTTTCGGGAGCTTGTATGCTTCCACCAGCGGCAAAATCCCAGCTCTTGAGTCAGAAACTGGGCGAATTCTGAAACCAACCACAAACACAAGAACATACGATTTAGCCTTGCTCCTGTCGCTGTTCATAGCAGGATCGACACGTCTACTTTAGGCTGCATCTTGTGGGATGTGTTTCTTACTGAACTCCGACCAAGCGGGTACCAAGCATGGAACTCTTGTTGGTAACAGCCTCATACCCCTAAACCCTAAACCCTAAACCCTAAACCCTAAACCCTAAACCCTAAACCCTAAACCCATACCTCAGGCCGCCGGAAGAGCTCCGATTCAGAGGCTCACCTGCCTGCGGAGGTACATGCTCACCGGCGACGTCTCGCGAAAGAAATCCTGCCGGAGTGGCTGACCAGAACCTCATGTAGGGGCCTTAATAATTAGAACAGGGTTCGGGGGTCCTTTATAATGTAGGGGCCCTTGTTAATTAGAAGAGGGTTTTGGAGTCCTTGTATAGTAGGATGATAACCAGGAACCCCAAACATAGGGGTTTTAAAAATTAGAATAGGGTTGGGGGGTCCGTTATGGTACACTTATAACCAGGAACCCCTACCATAGTGTAGGTAATTATTTAAGCCCCCTATATTACCGCAGCATTAGGCGTTTTCAGTGCTCTTTGAAGGCAACAAACTCAAGTCCACGAGACGAAGGACATCACGCCCTCTGTGGACTCCTACGGCCACTTCTAATGTAGGGGCCTCAAAGATTAGAGTAGGGTTTTGGGGTATACTATACAAAAATCATAAGAAGGAACCCCCAAAATAGTATTGGTAATTCTTTAGGCCCCTGTTTTACGCACTTCTTGTCCGTCGATGATTGAGATATTCAACAGTCACAAGTGAAGTGAGAGAACTCGATCGTTGCACAAGGATCACCACTGAAGAGGCCAAACCTACTTACAAAGAGCGATGGGTAACATGTTAGGGTAGATAGGGGTACCTACACATGCAGTGTTGTGGCGATGCCCAAATCACATGCCCTCGAAGGTCATTGTCTCTGGTGCTGCTGTTGGACACCTGCACATGCAACCCTGTTGTCCGACTCGCGACACTTAAGTCAACACATTTTCGCTTGCGGCTCCCATAGTGAGTTATTTGCTCAACATCCGACTTCCTTTTAACTTACATTACGAAATCACTCGCGTGGGAGAAACTGATCACCTCGAGGAGAAAGATTGCTTTCGCTGTGCCTTGTCAGGAGTCTACTATACTAAATGCACCTCAAACCGACACACACTTGAATCCGGAAGCACATGTCCCGTGTCCGAAATATAATCATCGTCGGATTTCCTTTAACGGTTCCTACAAAGGCTTACAACTAAGGATGCCTATGAAAAGTCAAAGCCATGTTAGCGGACTCTGCTTGGAACACTGCAAGTCATGGTCTACATCTGAACTCAGATCTCCACCCTAAACCCTAAACCCTAAACCCTAAACCCTAAACCCTAAACCCTAAACCCTAAACCGTGCTACATCTGAACTCAGATCTCCCCTACGGCGCAAGATCCGAAACCGAAAGTGGCAAAAAGTCAGAGGCATGGAGATGTCCTGGCTGAGATCCAGCCTACCTGCGCATTGGGGCAAGTCGGTGAAGCCGGCAAAGCCCTGTACTGCATTAGGTTAGGGCTTTGGGTTTGTGTCAACCCCATCTCCCTTTTTTTTCTTGGTTTTGTATATCTGCGAGTCGAAACCCAATATCCTCAACCCTGAACCCAAAACCCCCCAAATCCAAAAGTCTGAGGATTCTCTTGACCCGAAGCAATTGATACCCTGAACCCAGAAACCCGGAGCCTGAAGACCCTAAACCCCGGAAACCCCAAACCCCAGAAAGAACATAATGGCCAGAGGCCAAAAACACCCCAAACTCGGAATGATGACCAATATTCTTATGACAACACTATAATCTACCCCTAAACCCTATTTTAAAGCCTCGATAGCAATCCATCTCGGAGGCTTTGTGCTAAAATAACCCTAAACCCTAAACCCTAAACCGATGACAGGCCGCTGAGTGAGGAGGAAATCGGCAGCTTCGGCGGCGCCTTCCGCGGAGCCTGCTCTTTTTTGCATCCCCCTACCCAGAGACTCAAAACACCTAAACCCTAAAATGCTAGGCCCTAACCCCAAAAAATACCCCTTACCCCTAAACCCTAAGCCCTAAAACCTGGGCCCTCAACCCCCAAAAAATACCCTAAACCCTACACCCTAAAACCTAGGCTCTAAACCCCTAAGCCCTAAAACCTAGGCCCTATATCCAAAAAATTTAAGGTGTGTTCTTTAGTGAAGGGGCCTTGGAGTTTCTGGAGAGTTGGGCTTGGGCTTCCGGGTCTATGAGATAGGATGCTGGGTTTGGGGTTTAGGGTTTGGGGTTTGGGGTTTAGGGTTTAGGGCTTAGGGCCTAGGGCTTAGGGCCTAGGGTTAGGGTTTAGCGATGAGGGCCTGGGAGGGTTTAGGGTTTAGGGCTTAGGATCTGAGGTATGGGTCTTAGGGTTTCGGGTACAGGATCTAGGAACTACAACCCAGAGGATAAAGGATGCAGGATTTAGCTTAGGGTTTGCTTAGGGTTTAGGGTTTAGGACTTAGTTTAGGATTTCTTAGGGTTTAAAGTTTAGGGGAATTACTGTTCATCTCGGGCTCCTGAGGCGCTCTTAGGTTTTGGGGCGGGGCATGGAGGTTTATAGGCTTGCATGCGTGAGCCTGCGCAGCGATTTCGTATCAACTCCTTCCCCCCCGAACCCCCACGTCTTTAGACGAGAACCCTTCTGCTGCGCATCCGAGAAAAGTCTCAAAACCCGGACTCCGCATCCAACCCACCTCTCAACCCTAAACCCTAAACCCTAAACTCCTAAACCCTAAACCCTAAACCCTAAACTCCTAAACCCTAGAATCTCTGGAATCTCTAGAAGCCCCAGAACCCTAAACCCTAAACCCAAGTGCCACATCCTAGAACCCACCTCGGTCTCGAGCGTCCAAGCCGGGGGCGAAGAGGCGTATCCTAGCCTGGGCTCTTGTTCAGGAACTGGAAGTTGACTATGGGTTTAGGGTTTAAGGTTCTGGGGAGTATAATGACAGTCTTATGGCTGGCCTTTATAGGTTTCTGAGCCTAGAGGTCGCTGTATAGGGGGCTTTCTACAGGAGCTGCAAGGCCATACCGAGAAAGGCTTTACAAAGCTGTTTGTGTTACAAACATCTAGTGCGCCTGTGGGGCTTTAAGCTAGACTGAATAGAAAAAGATATCCTAACTTTAACTAAATGAGGGTTTCCGAAAATAGGGACCCCAATATAGCACCCTAAATAATAGGATCAATTATAAGGACCCCAACATAAGGTACCCTAATTTTCGGAAACTCCCAAGTTCGTTAACAAGAGCCAAGGAACCAGAAGACCAGGCCGGCACAGAAGCAGGAAGTGGCCTAGGACATACAAGAATCTATGGCTTCACGGTTTAAGGCTGAGGGGTTCTATAAAGGCTTAAAATTGCAAGAGTTCTGATTATAATGGTTCCGAAAGCATCTTCGAGCGTCATTTAAGTAATGGCTTAAGGCTTCGGATTTTGGGTTTAAGGTGATTAAAGGTTTGAGGTTATTTTGTTGTTGAACCCTCTTTTCTCTCGCGGGGTTCAGGGTCTAGGGTTCCTCAGGGCTTGAGAGTTTAGGGCCTTTGGGGTTTGAGAGTTGAAAGCCTTGGGACTTTGAAAATTCAGTGCTTCATGACGAATTGAACATACCGCTTTCGGTCAGCGTCAGTCGCCTTGGACATACCATTCGGGGATTGTTGTAGGGTGTAGTGCTCAGGGTGTGACGCGATGCCTCTGAAGTGCTCTACTTAAATACGAGCTTACCATGGTTAGAAAGGGTGAGTGGGACTTGATCGCTAAGAAAGCCCTGGTGCTATTTAGCTTCCCAGCTGCGGCGTCGATTTCCAGGCTTGCTTTGAGTTCTCACCAAGCCGAAAAGGCTTACGCATCCACGGAGTACTTGGTATAAGTAGTGTGGTATAGCATAACATAGCATAGCATAGCGAAGCACAGCAGCATATCATAGCCTAGTGTAGTATGGTACAGTACAGCACAGTACAGTAAAGCGAAGCACTGAAGCCCCAAACTAAAAAACGCGCAAGCTCGAGCCTGCACCATGATGAGACCAATCGGCCCTTGTTGGATCAAGCGTTGGGTGGCGAAGATGGAGATGGCCTGGTTTCGGGGTGATTCGGAGTTCAGGTCGCGGCTCGGCTTTGGAGCCTCGGTGTTAGTGGGGCCTGCGGTTTGGGGTCGATGCTTTAGGAGCCTGGAGATGTTGAGACCTGGTCTGTGGGATTCAGCCGTTTGGTGGTCCTGACGGAGATCAGCTTCGCCCTGCACCATGACGACAACGCCGCCGAAGACGAAAACGACACCGAAGGTGCTCAACTGCGACGACGACGAGGCTACGACAGGAACTGACGCCAAGGAGAATAAGACGACGACCACCACCGCCACCGCGGCTGCAACCGTTGCGAGTGGCGGCCGCTCACCGCATGCCTTCTGCCGTACTGCTTTCGACGAGTACTACACCCATTAGTAAATTGTAATTACCAATTAGTCAATAGTGTTTAATAATTAATAATTAGTAATAAGTCATTAGTAATGTCGTGCTCATCGTCACCATCATCCAGCCCTCCAAAGACCCAAAGCTTCCCAGTGGCCGATGGCAGAATGCTCATGGCCAGGATCTCGCACGAGGCGGCCATGCCGGCGCAGCTTGCCAGCGGCTCGAGCAGCAGCACGTTGCAGGACACGGCGCAGATCCTTAAAGCCACAAGGGGAAGACTTGTCAATGCTGAGGGGCCGTGTTTAGAGTCCAGCAGAGGTGGGAAAAGGCACCCCTACTGCACTTTCCCTCACTGTTCATTCTCCTCTTCTTGCATCGCTGCTTCCTGCCACAGAGCAGTTCCATGGATGCTATGTTGTGGCCATGGTCTGATTATTGCTTCTGGTGTCAGTATTGTCGGCAGTGCTCCTGACTATGGCACCTACGCCTGCTGTTTTTCCTACTAGTCTTATTGCTATTGAAGTTGCGGTGATTGCTGCCAGTGCTATTGCTAGTACAAGAGTACGAATGCTTTGGTTCTTGTTGCTGCGAATGATGATGCTGCTGCTGCTGCTGCT